TTTTAATTACTTAATTATAACACATTACATTATTTAATTAACTTCATTATATATTTAACTCATTAACACCTTAAACTAAATAATATTACTAATTAAAACATTATTTTATTTTATTAGTTAAATTATTTTATTAATTTAATAAAACCTTAATGATGGAAGTACAAGAATTCAGTGTCATTGATGATTTGATTGCAGTTGCATGGCCAATTAATTTAGCATTGATTGAGTGGATTACCATAAATTTAGTTTAAAGTAAAAGGCTAGTAGAAAGCAAAGCATCAATTATGTTTGCCATTTTTATTCTCTATAATACTACTAATCATGTAAAGATTGAAAATCTCAGTAATCTAACTATCAGTAGAGAATTTCTCTAATTTATAATTTTTGGTATCAATTATCAAAGATAAAAAACTTGAGGAAGCCTATAATAAATACTAACAAAATTGTCCTTTATCAGTGTGATAGAGCCTTGGGAAAGCTGTACGGGATTCAAATTTAAACTCATGATTACTGATAAAAAAGAAAGTGATAATAAGCTAAGAATTGGTTACAAAAGTTGAAAGGTAGTTTTCTAGAAGTAAAATCATATATACAAAAAGATAATTTATCTTTTCCATGTTAATATGCCACTAACTATTGTAGATTGCAATTACAGTCCATGGATGGAATCCCCAATGGAATCCATACATATCTTACTGCTGCCCCTCAATTCAAAGGTTAAGCGAGAAGATCTGCTAAACAAGCACAAAAATCATGTTTGTCTCGTAATTAAATTTGGTTAAATTATACAATTAGTTCATGTATTACACAAAAAATATAAATTTAGTCTTTATATAATAATTTGTGTGAATTGGATCCTTGTTTTTTTGTCAATTTGTTAATTTTAATTTCTAACTCTAATATCGTTAAATTTGATTGTTAAATATGGTGACATGTTATTTTGACCAAGCTAACATGACACATTAATAGAAATAGCGTGGCACAATGATGACATGGCAAAACATTGACTTGGTAAAAAATGTTAATTGTTCATGTGAGTTTAACAAAGAAATTAAAAAAAACACCCTAACCATAAATTAAAAAGTTAAATGTGATTAACAAAAAATGATTAAGAAATTAAAAAAATACAATTAAGAGAGAAAGAAAAAAAAATGAGCCATCAAAGAGGGAGAATCAACTTCATTGACGTTCAATGACATGGAAAACTTGAACGATGAAGATGACAATTATCGTAACGTGTGGATCCGAGAACTCAATCGCTTGATGTGGAAAATATAGGAGTTGCCATCAATCTTTTTTATCTAGATGCGATTTGTTATTTATTAAATTTGTTCTATTCAACGGAATCCTAAATTGATTTTAGGTCCGCTTAAAGAATAATAAACTGGTCTACGAATTTTTAGAGTTGGGTTCAGGAGTACGGTTACGCATAAGGTAGGTTAGAACCCCCGTAACGCCTACTTCACAAATGGTACCATTTAATCATATGTTAACCTATTATAGCCTAAACCATTGATTTTATTCTTATGTTTCCCTAATTATTGTTAATTTACTTTATTATTTATTTTGTTAACAAATTAAAATATTTTATTTGATTTTACTGGTGTGATGTGCACATGATGCAGTTATGAAATGCATGGCATAAAATCCATATAATACCAAACAAAAACCTTTTATTGAGGATATTTTCTAAATTCGCACATCATGCTTGTAGGATTCGTAGATATTCTCTCACCTAGGAAATTATCAGAGAAACTTACTTGCGTAAGTTTAACCAATAAATCCCATCATAGGGGTAATCATTCGCGTTTGAAAATAATTTTTTCTTGTATGCAAACCTATAACACGTAGATACCTTATTAAAGATATTCTCCAAATCCCATCGTACTAATGGGATTTAGGAGTATCTTTTCACTTAGAGTATTTTTTGAAGAAACTCATGTACATAATATGTCTACATGCCATAACATTTAACAGTGCAATGATGAAGCATGACGTGCTACCAACTCCTATGTCCACTATTGATTATTCTCTATATTCATTATTATTATTATTATAATTTGACTATCTTTAAAAATTTTATTATTACTATTTATTTATTTATCATGAATATCATTATTTTATATAATCCTATATTTCAAAACAATATATATTATCTATTTTCTCTCGTATTTATTATTATTTCATTATTTCCTTTTTATATTTTTTTATTTGATTAGTAATTAAATTATTAAATTTGTCCATTTACTTAGAATTGCAAACATCAAGATTCAAAATTAAAACACTCTCATCATATTAGTGGTCTTAATCAAAATCTCTAGCTTAGAAAAGTTCATTGGGAATTGCAACTTCTCACGTTCCAAATGAACATTCCATCATTAGTGCAACTTATAGATTATTCCTGTGAATAATATTGTGGCATTTTTCAACCAAACCTTTGTGCCTTCCTATCTATTAATAACAACCCTAAACATCTATTTTATTTTAAATATTATTTCCTTACCTTATTACATTTAGTATTTAGTTACAAATGTCTACTTTTTACCTATATTTATATTTTTGCCCTATTGCCATTCATGTACATATTTTAATAAACCTATCCTTTTTTAGAATAAATGTCTTTTCTATCTTTTTACTATATCTTATTTTTATGACCAAATATATTTTTGGTTTTTTCATTTACCTAACCTATTTTTCCTATGACTAAATATATTATTATTTTTTCTATATTTTCTATATCTTCTTTCCTCTAGTTAAATTGATTCTTTCATAACTAGATATTATTTTACTTACTTAGATCTAATTTTTACTACTAAATATTTATTTATTTCTCTCCACCACCCAAAACAAGCTTTTTCCCACGAAATCTTCCGTTCGAAAAAGTTAAAATTTTGTTGGAAATAACTTTTTCTGATAGATTTCCGACGAAAAAATCTGTTAGAAATTCCATCGATATAAACCTCGTCAGTAATACTTTTTGTTGGAAATCTGTTGTAAATTTTCAGCGAAAAATTCTATTGAAAAAAAATGCATAATCTGTTAGCTATCCCATAGTAATTTCGTTGGAAATTTCCAATGGAATTTTGTTTTCCAACGGATTTTTTCGTTGGAAAAGCATTTCTCATGGAAAATTACGTTGGAAATAATTCTATAGGAAATAAATTTCGAGC